CTTTTCTACTTCTACTTCTACTTTTTCTACTTCTACTTCTTCTACTTCTACTTCTTCTTCTCCTTTTCTACTTCTACTTCTACTTTTTCTACTTCTACTACTTCTTCTTCTTCTTCTTCTCGTTATTTTTGCCATTGTTTTCATGTATGTGGCTCCTTTTTTATGTTGTTCACTGCCTGTCAAATTAACAATCTTCCTCCTCCTCTTCCTCCTCTTCCTCCTCCTGCAGGGTGGGGGGTGTGAGGTCCTCCTCCTTCTGCCTGCTCTCCTCTCTGACTCAGCAGTTGGAGGCTGAAGGTTCGGTGGACGTTTTCCAGACGGCAAAACTGCTGAACCTCATGAGACCCGGATCCTTCAGACACATAGTGAGATTTAGTGGAGTTTGCATAGTTAACCTCCTGAGACCGTGTGTCCTCATAAGAGGACGTTGCATTTTTGTCTCTCTTTACCATGATACTTCTTTTTTTCTTTCAGCTTTGACCTCTTGACCTCATAGCAGATGCTATCAGACACTGTTTGAAATCTAAAGTAAAATGGTTTTATACATTTCCATCCAATCATGTTCTTATTGTGTAATAGAAAAACTGTAAATGAGTCAATGGGACTGTCAGAACAAAATTGTAAAAACATTTAATTAAATATGTATCTCATATATCTTTAAAAAAAAAGCTAAAATGCGTGCCAAATAAAAGCTCGGGTCTCAGGAGGTTAAATCTCAATATTATCAATATCAATATTAGCTTTTGATGGTGTTTCTTCAGTTAAAATCTGATTTTTAGGCCATTTTACAGCCTAAATAATGGACACCTAAAGTTTAGATGCTCTTTCTTTTGCTACACAACAGCACATGTGATCATCAGGGAGCAATTTAACTTTTTTTTTTTAGTCATCACTAAGAACATATTATGCAAAAACTTAAAAGTTTTGAATCATGTGATTGTGTGCATTTGGGACTGTGGAGGGCCTATCAGCAGGCAAAGTGTGAAAAAAAATGACTGGTCCACAGATTTGGTGGAATTTGCTTAGTTAAATCTCAATATTATCAATATTATCAATATCAATATTAGCTATTGATCCTGTTTCTCCAGTTAAAATGTGATTTTTAGGCCTAAACAGTGGACACCTAAAGTTTAGACGGTCTTTCTTTTGCTACACAACAGCACACGTAATCATCAGTGAATTATTTAACTATTTTTTTAGTCATCACTAAGAACATATTATGCAAAAACTCAAGTTTT